AGGGAAAGGCACTGTAGGGGTTCCCACAGTGTATGGGGCAGCACAGGAGGTGCCCCTCACTCTACCTGAAGCACCGCTGGGGTGCCCAGGTGAAAACATCACCTGTGGAGGACAAGAGCATGTGGGAGGAAAGGATAGGCAGCTTGTCCTCTCCTATATCCCCTCTGGCAGGAACAACCACGACATCCCAGTGAGGTTTACCACACATGACAAATTGAGACTCGAGCTAGGTTCCTTCCCTCCCTGCTGTTGCTGGTCTTGCACTTCAAGGCAGAAAGGCAGGAAGACAGAATGGCTGCATCCTGGAGAGTTTCCTTCCTTCCTTTCTCTGGTATGCAAGGGACACACAGGGACTCACTACATGCCCTCACTTCAGTGCCATGGCCCACAGGTCACGCAAACTCCCAAACAGTGACTGTGGTGCTCTGCCAACATTGCTGAGTACTTCAGAAACGGGGCTGGGGGACACAGAGAGATGGTCCGGGGGCAGAAGCGAAGGGGTACAACTCCATGGGCGTCTGTCACACACCACAAACATCATGGAGCCATGGAAAACATAGCAGGGGTTGCTGAATGACAGAGCAAGTCTGGTGTTTAGGACACTGGAATGTGGGTGACTTTGGGAAGGCTATATCACGTGTAAGGAATAGTCCAATCTAGGTCACCATTTCAGTGGAACACCCACTCTCCATCCCTTAAAAGCGTACAAGTGCATCACATGCTCTCAGCCCCCGCTTTACCCTGTATGGGATCACATTTGCTAATGCAGCATAATATTGTACCCTGGGCTGCTTCAGACAACGTGTTTCCAGCAGGTTGAAGGAGCTGGTCCTCCCCCTTCACTCCGCACTCATGGGGTCACATCAGGTGTACTGTGTCCAGTTCTGGACTTCTCAGTCAGCAAGAGAGACAGGGACATACTGGAGAGAGTCAATTGAAAGGCCACGTAGATGATTAAGGGATTAGAGCGTCACACATATGAGAAATGACTGACAGCTGGGAAGGGCAGGCTCAAGGGAGGAATGCTTCATTAGTGTATTTAAATACCCGGGGGGAACATGCAAGGAGGAAGGAGTTATGGTCTTTTCAGTGGTGCCCATTGAAAGGCCCAGAGGCAACTGGCACAAAATGAAACACAGAAAGCTCCATCTGAACATCAGGAAACACTTTTTCACTGGGAGGGTCACCAAGCAGTGGAACATGTTGTCCAGGGAGATTATTGAGCCTCTGTCCTTGGACATACCCAAAACCCATCTGGACCTAGAGCAGAGCTCTAGGTTAACCTCCTTAAGCAGAGGGTTATACCACATGACCTCCAGAAGTCCCTTCTATCCTCCATCATACGATTTCCCACTGAGCAGCTTGGCTGGACAACCCAGGAGGGAAGGAACACGAGGAGACATCAAGCTACAATGCAGCACAAACTTTAATGGGTCTAAAGAGTGAAACAAAGCAGGGCATGGTGCAAGGGACCCAGACAACGCTGCTACGAGGGCAGCTGACAGCCAGGCACCCCTTCACACCAATGGATGGGACACATGTTGTCCTCCCACACACAGGCGGAGAGGGTGATGAGCAGGGCCCCGCTCAACTTGCTTCAGGATGAACCCATGGCACAGGAGAGCAGGAGACAACAGGGACTCGTGATGCGGAGAAGAAAGCAGCAGGAGAAGAAGAAGACATCAGCTGGCCATGTTTCCAGACAGCACAGGCTGGCACCTTGCTCAACCCTTCTGGAAACCCTGGCCAGCAGCTCCGTCCTCAATCCGGCACCTGGCTGTGGGCTTCCTGGTCGATGCGCTCACTGGACGTCCAGCACGGCTTTAGCAGGGCAGGCACCTTCTGCCGTAGTAGCGGCCACCAAAGCCACCAAGGCTACCAAGGCCAAAGCCCCCGGAGTTGATGGGCACGCCTTCCTCAATCAGGATGCTGCCAACGGCCGCGGAAGCGGGGGGAGCC